ATAGTCTATCTGAATACTCGACTCGACGAAAATCTAGAAAAAAATACCAAATTGAACAAATACATAAAAATGTATAAGCTTAGAGTAGGCGACTATTTAAATCCTAAATGACGAATATTTGTCGAAAAACATTCATCAAAGAACAATTAGAATTTAAAACATCGACCTGACGATTGTGACGATGTTTCGGCTTGCGAACAGCTCACCATAGTGGCTTGAACGATCAGCTGAACGAAATGTTTTCTACAGCAGAGAACTACGCGTGTAAAATGTGCTAATCACTGCAGGAAACAAAGATTTTCAGAAAACAATTAAAACCGTAATTCTGTTTTGGTACACACTTCCGAATTTCCGATATACAACAAGCTTATGAACGACAGACAAGTACCTATACCATAAATTCCCTAGCTTGAGTGAATAACATTTTCGTACAGGAGTTAGGGAACGTGCTGCTCTAGTCTAGGCACGAATAGAAACAGGAGATAATTGATGCTGTCCTGACGTAACGCGTTTAGTTTTCTCGGAGTATTTGATTTGAATGAATGAGAATGAATTAAAGCTATTACCGCCGCAACAAAAATCCACATAATGAACCATTATACAATGCACATCCATAATTAAAGACCAAATCATATAAGGAATCTAGTTCGACTTGTAAAGGATTCAGTTATGAAATGAAAATTGTTTAGCTGATCAGACACTCATTGGCGAAACTCGGATCAAATTCGCTGCAGTGAATTTTCAATATACTTGTTTATAAAGTAAAAACCTAAGTTTTTGAAAAAATTACCTAGAAATACGTAACCGTATGTTAGAGCCGTTTTTGAACACATGAAATCATGAAAGTTACGTTTTCGCAGTTGTAGCAAATATTATATTCTACGACACCCAAAGTGAATAGCTTGAAAATGTAAGCTATTAATTGTACTATTATTATTAATTTAATTATTGTTATATTATTAAATTATTATTAATTGTATATTAAGCTATTATTAATGTAGTAAAGTACTATACAAGATAATGCGTTTTTAATGATTTGATATTGTCTTCAAATAATATGAGCAGGTAGGAATATAAAAATAAAACATGAACCTAACAATTACCTTCTCAGTAGGGTTGGCCCTTTAATATTTTCATTCAAATTCTGTGAAAATAATTTAAAAACGCTGCACTCTCAACTATAACTCTATTTTGCTTAACACCGTCAATTAAAAACTCATATCATCGTAACTAAGTACACATCTTACATCAAAAACGTTTCACCGCATTGATTAGTATTATTGTGAAATTTTGACTTGCTCCCGTTCCTATATATATAATAGAATAGAATAGAAGTGTCGGCACTAAAGATATATCCCCTTGGCCTGTTGCCGATTCTTGAATTTTTCGTGACTTGATTCACAAGGGATCCGGCCTTTGGAACCCGATCTTCCCCTAACTGACGATTGATTGAGATAGCTGCTGGACTTATTGCCTGGTCCGTATTAAGACTGAACATACAGTATGCTCCTGCATAGCTCCGTCTAGTCTGTTCTTGAAGGCATTCAAACTCGGAGCGTCAACGATGCTATCAGAGAGGCTGTTCCACATGTCGGTGACTGGAAGCGAGAAGAAATGTTGTCGCATGGATGTGTTACAACGCTGTTTTTTAGTTTATAGCCATGGCCCCTGGTGTTGGTTCTTGTTTCAAATTCTAGTAATCCTTCTGGGACCTTGTTTAAGCCATGAGTATACTTGTATGCTTCAATGAGTTCCCCACGCCTTTCAAGAACGGAATTATCCTTGTTGCACGTCTTCGAACACTCTCTATTAAATTTTTGTCCTTTTCAAGTTTCGGTGACCACAAGAGGTTTCCAAAGTCTAGGTTCGGGCGCACGACAGCAACAAACAACTGCTTCATCGCTTCTGCATCTAAGAACTCGAAAGAGCGTCTGGTCATCCAAGTCGTTTATTCATTATTGGCTTTATTAACTTGACCTTCAATATTCTTTGAAAATTTCAAATCATTGTCGATATTAACTCCTAAATCTTTTTCCATTGTCGACTTCGACATCATCACTCTGTCGTTGCAACCGTGTCTTCTCATACTGTAATCTTGCTGTACATTATTCTTGCCAAGGTGGATTACTTTACATTTGTCAGCGTTAAAACGCAGCTGCCACTTATCAGCCCAGTCAATCAGCCTGTCAAGATCACCTTGCAACTGTACTTTTTGCGACTTAATCTTCACTGTATTATAGATTTTTGTGTCGTCAGCATACATCGAGCACACGCTAGACAAAGCTTCTGGCAGATAGTTTATAAACGCAACGAATAAAACAGGCCCGAGAACGCTTCCTTGTGGCACGCCGCTGCGCACTGAAGCCCAGTCAGATACGGGCTCATTATTAATACTGACACGTTGGAGTCTCCCTAATTGGCGTCATTTCAGTTTCTAAATTCATTTCAGTTGGCGTCTAATACTGGAATAATACTTCTAGCAATTAAACTGTGCGTTAATCCGCCTATTAGAACCCAATGCCGACTTAATTCAGTCACTAGAAAAATTTTGTCAACACAAATGAAGACCGTGAAAACCTGGTCCTATTGGATTGAGCCTCCGCCTGCTAACAGAACTCGATGAAATTTCTTGGGGCTACCGCCCCGAAAAATGTAGCGCCGTCCGAAAAAACGAAGCAGCCCTCCGTAGTACACCATGATGAGCAGAGACGCTCAGAGCAATGAGTTTTTCATACCACCGAAAGTGAGTGAATCCGGAGAAGACATATGGATTCTGGTTCAGACAGGTTTCAAGGGCATGTACTACAAACAGCTAGAGATGGCAAATAAGAACTATTTTTACTCGGCGAGCATTCAACATTTTTTACGCCTGAGATGTTGGAAAAACTTTTCAATTTACTTGTTCCGCCAGTGGTAAAGTCGGGTCCCAATCGACAAAGACCCTCTGCGCCGACATAGAGGCTGTCCAGAGAAGAGCGACCGGACTGATCGCCAGTCTCTAAATCGAGACTTACCATGAGCGTCTGGCAGTCTCAGGCTTTGAAGCTTGCAGCACCGCAGACTGGGAGAGGGCACGATCGATGTCTTTAATTAGGTTTTTGCACAGAGCTTACGACACGGACCGCCGCAAGTGGAACTTTCACGTTGGCAGGGACACAAGATGTAACAGCCTGAAATTTGTCAGAAAATGCAGTCGAAGAAGCGTAAATTCCAGTTTGTTGTGTCGTGTCCACATGGAATAGCCTACAAGACAGCGCGTTCATTGCTCTCCATGACACTCGGTGACTTAAATTTGCTTATTTTTTTCCGGTTAGAATGGTAGGGCAGATTATTATTGCCATTAGTCTATATTAACACCTTCAATTCGAAAACGCTGGAACACCTCATATTTCATTTCGCCATTCGTCAATTCGCTTCGTCTAAGAGTTTAAGCCTCTAAAACTTACCCCTGAGTAAGTAATTAGAAATCTTACCAGCCGACAAACGCCCCGCATGAAAACGTGTTCATTTCATCAAAAGCTTGGCTTGATTAACAATAGCAAGAAGGATCAAAACCTGAACCAGCTATATAAATAATGTATTCAATAAAAATTCATCCACAGGTCCAAATGGTATAGTTACATCAAACTTGATGATCTACAAACGAAACGGAATAAGTGATATTTACACTAAGCGGACAGACTACGCACACTAGAAGAAACCAAGAAAACCCTCAAAATAGAACAGAGAAACCTTATCCAAGTCAAAACGCTCTCGATATCATGTAGACGGCCTAACAGCGTGTAAAAGCGACTTCGGGACTTCATAGTATGAAACAAAATACTACGAAGTCGCTTCGGGACTTCATAGTATAAGATCTTGACGGTCTTACAAGACGAGATATTTTCGGCTGATGAAAACAGGTTGTTATAAAAGCATGATATTTTTAAGGGCCTGTAGGTAGCTTCTCGCTTACCTACGTTCTCGTACGTAGGGCATGTAGGTCCTCGCTTGAACAAGGCGTTGTCTCAACCAACGATAAATTTATTTAAGACAGCAAATTACACACTAATTACAACAATCAATTTCCAGATTTGAGGTAAAGAGCTACCCTAGCACAAAGTAACATAAGGCAACAGGTTATTTCTGTCGAAGCAAATCGATTCTGGCACGAAATGAACTTCATTATTTAAAAATATAATAAATAAGCACAACAAACGCACGATAAAAAAAATCTGACTCAATTATTAAAATATTTCACTGGATCACTAAAGCGCTGGCCTAAAAACAAGATAATTTCTATTACGGTAACATTAAAGAAAATAGAAGGAAACACTAGGTTGTTATTGTATCAACTCAGCCTGGCCACAATGAGCTCTACACAGTGACAGGAGAGCTCTACACAGTGATAGGAGAGCTCTACACAGTGATGGGAGAGCTGTACACAGTGATAGTAGTAGTAGTAGTAGTAGTAAAAGATTTACTAGCGCTTCAGATAGCTATCTATTTCGCGCCGGAGGTGAGGTCTTCAGCTACGTCAAAGATGTTTGGTCTCTTCCGTCTTCAAGGCTTATAGCCTGATCCATTTTAGGCGCAGGGGCTGGGCGGTAGATTCCACACAGTGATAGGAGAGCTCTACACAGTGATAGGAGAGCTCTACACAGTGATAGAAGCGCTCTACACAGTAATAGATTTTCACAACTTCTCTTACTCGACTGAAATATCAACATAAAATATGGAGCTGGCAATACAATAAACAAGAAAACGATAAATAATGGCGAAAAATATACAACAAAAATACTATAGAATGAATTATGATAAATTACGAAAATACTAGAGGAGCCGTTAGCTGTGCCCTGAGAATGAAGAATGCAAGAATTGAGAGTTCGGTGAAGGCTTAAGAGTTTGGCTTTCTATGCACAAAACTCATATGATTCAATAACGCATCAAAAAATACAATTCAAAAGATTTATCCGTTGGCGTGTTAAAATTACAATCAAAACTATCACAAGCAAATCTACTGCACAAACACATGTGCTCACACAGCACAAATGTTGTCAAATTTGGCCAGGATTTTATTATTGCCACAAAATGGCCACAGAGGCTAACATGAACGACGTTCATGTTATAGTACTTGATATCTGGGACCTCAGGGAACTTTGTAATCTCGTAATCCAAATACAGAGAAATTTCCATGCGGTACAGAAAAATGTACATAAGAAAGTTAGGAGCAGAGAGAAAGATTACTATTGAACTAAGACCTATAGAGTGCGGCCTGAGAGCTGCGTATATGTAGGTCTAAACAACTCCAATAAGGGAGTCCTTACATTTATTTTCAAACGTCGTTTAAAAGTCGACACTTGTTTGGAGTATGATGAATACACGAAAGTTAATTATCAAAACACTTGAAATTTAGAAAAAAAAAACTTGCACTTCTTCGCTTAAAATTTAATAAGACTAATATAAAGCCAATCACGTGAAACTTGAACACTATATGCATAAGGTTCACGTGCAATGCAACGCAGTTGGCTCACTTAGGAATCCTGCCCCTCCCCAAAGCTTTAATTGTTTAAAATAATGAAGGATATTTCATTGAAGATCTGTAAGATACGTGCACGACGGGTTAAGATATCAACAGCGGTCGTTGAAACAGAGTTACGAGCATTGAAGCGGTTTAGGTTCAAATGTAGAGTGCACTTCAACACTGGAGTGTCCAAATAACTATTGAAACATAGAGTTACATTAGCCTATTCAAGTTATTCGTGTATAACTAACAGGAAATTTTTAGAATGTAAAGATCGAATGAAAGCGTTGAACATGGCAACACAAGATTGCTTCAAGAGGCTCTAGCTATTTTTTAATTCTCACTTCCAGCTATCGTACCACAATGGAATAGCAATGGAAAATTAAACGGAAGTAATCAATGATGAGCTCGTTAACTAAAGCAAAAACACGAGTGACCTGCTGAGGACAAGTAAAAAGAATGATCCTGATCTAACCATTCAGCTTATCTTCTATAAGGAATCAAGTTCCGTTCGTGTTTTTTCTCCCTTTTTATATGCTAATTAAGTGTGATATTAATACCTAATGAGTGTAAAACATTATAGTGTGTTATTAACAAATGAAAAAGTTATGGGAATGGCAAAGGGAAAATATGACTCACTTCTACGTAGCGCGGTTGGAATACTTAATTTCAAGTGAAAAGCGCAGACAACTTCAAGCTCACAAAATGAATACAAAAGCTAGATTAAAAACGTCCTCTAAGGGGACCATATCTCAGGGTCGTAATTCATCAAGAGGGAAGATCCGGAATTTGGGGGAGGGGACGCGTTAGCCTCGGCTTTTGGGGCGCTGCCCTTGGCATCGGGGGGCACGAACCCCCGGGGTTTGGAGTGCGCTTGCCCCCTCTGCGTTTTTGGACACTCGTCCCCGGCGCTGGCTCCCCAGACCACCGCTGCTGCAGCAGCTCACGTATATCGGTCCTGAAAAATTTAAGATTGGCACAACTGATGCGAGCTCACCGCATGGAAAATCATTTAGCACAAAAGGCAATCTTTGTTAGAAACAATGAGAGAAATTACTCCTGATTCAAATCTGCGCGCAGGCCCTAGATTGATTCCAAGTTTTACATAAGTTTAGCAATGAACAATTATCTTGGCGTTCCAGTAGCAAGTCATAAACGGGTCTCACCCTTTTGTTCTCATATTATCTCTATTCTTAACAAAGAAGGGGAGAGGTGGAGAACAGCAGGAACAAAAAAGAGAGAGGCAGTGAACAGCAGAAACAAAAAAAGGGAGAGGTGGAGAACAGCAGAAACAAAAAAAAGGGAGAGGTAGAGAACAGCAGGAACAAAAAAAGGGAGAGGCGGAGAACAGCAGGAACAAAAATGGAGAGGCGGAGAACAGCAGAAAAAAAAGGAGAGGTGGAGAACAGCAGAAACAAAAAAAAGGGAGAGGTGGAGAACAGCAGAAACAAAGAAAGGGAGAGGTCGAGAACAGTAGGAACAAAGAAGGGAGAGGCGGAGAACAGCAGGAACAAAAATAGGGAGAGGCGGAGAACAGCAGAAAAAAAAGGAGAGGTGGAGAACAGCAGAAACAAAAAAAAGGGAGAGGTGGAGAACAGCAGAAACAAAGAAAGGGAGAGGTCGAGAACAGTAGGAACAAAGAAGGGAGAGGTCGAGAACAGTAGGAACAAAGAAGGGAGAGGTGAAGAACAGCAGGAACAAAAAATGGAGAAGTGGAGAACAGCAGGACAAAAGAGGGATACCTGAAGAACAGAGCACAAAGTAGATAAATTGCACGACATAAACATATCAAATTCAGGCCACTTCTCACTGTATGCATTATTCCCCGCAGAAAAAAACCGCGATGACTTGAAAAAAGCGCCAGACCAATCATTTCGAGGAATCATAGGTAAAGAAGATATTTAGATTGAATTATATCTAATTAAAATGAACAAGAATTTCTTGCACCTTTCATACCCCACACCATTCCTTTAAGAAGACAGCTCATTAAGCAGCTATTGGGTTTTGCCGCCGGCTCAAAGGCAGCAAAGTAACATCGAGACTGGGACCACAAGAAGCAGGAGCATCGGTGGCAATGTCAGGATGAACAATAGGAGCAGCAGTGTTAATATGAAGAATATAACGGTATTAAGGAATAACAGGATTAACATTAACATTACATTAAATATATTATCATCCAATACATGATATTTTTTGCCTTATCTCATAACACATCACCGACAACAGCATTGCAGCGACTGCTGACGAGGATCACTCTAGTACCTGCAGGGAGGCCATGACGTGCCTGACGAGGATCACTCTAGTACCTGCAGGGAGGCCATGACGTGGCTGATGAGGATCACTCTAGTACCTGCAGGGAGGCCATGACGTGGCTGACGAGTGTCACTCTAGTACCTGCAGGGAGGCCATGACGTGTCTGACGAATGTCACTCTAGTACCTGCAGGGAGGCCATGACCTGGCTGACGAGTGTCACTCTAGTACCTGCAGGGAGGCCATGACGTGGCTGACGAATGTCACTCTAGTACCAGCAGGGAGGCCATGACGTGGCTGACGAGTGTCACTCTAGTACCTGCAGGGAGGCCATGACGTGGCTGACGAATGTCACTCTAGTACCTGCAGGGAGGCCATGACGTTGTTGGCCATGTTGCTGAGACGACCTGCCACCTTCGTCACGCCGTGACGCACAGACTCCCGCACGTCGTCGAGATCAGGAGCCTGTGACGATGACAACAGTTTTACGCTGCTGCTAACCATAACAAAATTAATAAACACAGTTACTAATTACTAACTAATTACTAAATAATTACTAAACACAAGAACAAGCAAACTGATTCAGGGAACTTCCAGTAACTTTAAATAGAAAACTTGACAGAGAAAAATAATTTGCAAAATGAACCAGAAATTCATTACGAAACTAAAAACGTGTTCAGATTATATTAGAAGATCACATTGATTTATTTCGTTCTAACGTCCCAAGCTAAGGGCTAATGACTGGCTGTTCAGGAAGGCAGGTAAATAATCAATATAAGAGAACAGACACAATTAATCAATGAGAACACAACAGAAAGATTCTGAAATCAATGGAAGAGGAACGAAATAATAAATTTAAGATGATAAAAAGGTAAGATTCTGATATTAATTGTAGAGAAGCGTAATAATAAATCTAAGAAGATTTAGAAGATATAAAAGTAAGATTCTGACATTAATTGTAGAGGAACAAAATAATAAATCTAAGAAGATAAGAAAGATAAGATTCTGACATTAATTGTAGAAGAGCGTTGGACGTGCTGGTCAGGGAAGAGGTCGGCAGAGGAGATGCTGTTGCTGCCCTGGAACCTCGTCAAGCTCGAGTGCATGGGAGCGTTCACGTCAGGCCGGTCCTACAATAACGGAATATAATAATATAGCAATATGTTATAATATATATATTAATATGTTATAATATAGTAGTAATTTTATAATATATTAATATAATATTACAATATAGTAATATAATATTATAATATGGCAATATTATACGATGCTGCTACACATGATGTAACAACTCACCATCTATAACTAGTGATGCTAGTGATGTTCATACGATGTTGGTACAAACTCACCTCAAGTATCGTAATCTTGATGATGAAAATCAAACAATGCCAAATTTGAGAGCCAATTGTGTTACTTTGATAATTAAAATAATTAGAAGACTAATATACTTATAATCTGATATATAAATTAAAGGTCGACATATTTCCAATCAAACCTGGAAGAACATTTCAGAGCTGATAGACTTGGCGTTGCCGAACTTCTGCTGTGCTGCTGTGTCGTCAGCCGGCGTGTACTTGTAGTTGGCTGACACCGACACTGCACATAGATTATACAAAGTATACAGGAAGAACGTAATACAGGGTAAATGGCAATACAGGGTAAACGGCAATACAGGGTAAACGGCAATACAGGGTAAACGGCAATACAGGGTAAACGGCAATACAGGGTAAATGGCAATATAACGCAAATGGCAATACAAGGAGAACGTAATACAGGGTGAACGTGAAAGTAAACAGGGTGAACGTGAAAGTAAACAGGGTGAACGTGAAAGTAAACAGGGTGAACGTGAAAGTAAACAGGGTGAACGTGAAAGCAAACAGGATGAACGTCAAAGCAAACAGGGTGAACGTCAAAGTAGGGTGAACGTGAAAGTAAACAGGGTGAACGTGAAAGTAAACAGGGTGAACGTGAAAGTAAACAGGGTGAACGTGAAAGTAAACAGGGTGAACGTTGAAGTAAACAGGGTGAATGTGAAAGTAAACAGGGTGAACGTGAAAGCAAACAGGATGAACGTCAAAGCAAACAGGGTGAACGTCAAAGTAAATAGGGTAAACGTCAAAGTAAATAGGGTAAACGTCAAAGTAAACAGGGTGAACGTCAAAGTAAACAGGGTGAACGTCAAAGTAAACAGGGTGAACGTCAAAGTAAACAGAGTGAACGTCAAAGTAAACAGGGTGAACTTCAAAGTAAACAGGGTGAACTTCAAAGTAAACAGGGTGAACGTCAAAGTAAACAGGGTGAACTTCAAAGTAAACAGGGTGAATTTCAACATAAACAGGGTGACCGTCAAGCAAACAGAGTGAACGTCAAAGCAAACAGGGTGAACGTCAGAGCAAACAGGGTGAACGTCAAAGTAAACAGGGTGAACGTCAGAGCAAACAGGGTGAACGTCAGAGCAAACAGGGTGAACGTCAAATTAAACAGGGTGAATGTCAAAGTAAACAGGGTGAACGTCAGAGCAAACAGGGTGACCGTCAAAGTAAACAGGGTGAACAAAAATGTTTCTTCTAACACGTTTGATATGAACCAAATATTTAATTAAAAACGTAAAAGTTCATCAGAGTGAATTAAGTAATAATAAAAATACACTTCACATCTCAATGAGTGTCCAAAATTCCAGCACTGTCACCTTTGGCTGAGCCGTTCTTGGCAGATTGGCCATTCTTGACAGAACCATTTTTGGCAGATTGTCCGTTCTTGGCAGTTTCATTGTCCAGCACCTCAAACCCGTCAAACCACTTATCGCTGGCCGAATCTTTTTCGTTCTTTACTGTAAAAAATAATTAACATTATAACCTTGGTCCAACTGACTAATATGGAGTATTTAAAACATTTTTCAACGGCCGGTTATGGCTCATCTACAGCCTAATGAAGGTACTCGTTTCTTTGAATCGTGACTTCTTTTCTTAGCTAACAAATAAACAATACATCTTATTTTCATTAGAATTTTTACTATGAATACTGTTGGGTAGGACGACTATCTTCACAATTGGATCATGAGAACTGAGAAAAATAGTACAAGAATGAAGCATAGACTAACTGTTACCAAGTCAATTGCTTGGAAAACTGCAGAAAATCCTGCACTGCACGGACGTTTAAAACTAATCTAATACAGCAAAGACGATATAAACAACCCCCATGGTGAAAAGACTATGTTAAAACAAATCCATTAGTGCAAAGATATGTAAAAAAAGACCTGGGGCCATACTTTCAAAACTCGCGAAGTGAACGTAAGTACGTACTTGCGCTCAATTTTCTTGTCTATGATTGGTGGATTTGGCTTGAAAGGCCGTCAATGATCGGCGGATGAACTTACGATCTCTTAACTTTTTTTGAAAGTATAGGTGCTGGAACTAAACTCGCCTGGTTTAGAGGACAGCAGGTCTTCGATGCCGGATGTCTGGCGGCCGCCATAACTGCGGTCTTCAAAGGGGCTGTCTTTGTACCTACAAAATAAATCTCGATTGAACTTGTCTGCACTGATAACATAATTTGCTGCAGTCTTGTTTTAAAAATATTACATAAGATACAGAGCACATTAACTGTGACTTTCATTTTTGTTGCCATTGCATTGTCACCGGACGTGTGCCGCTACCTTTAATCTTATCAGGATGATCGGAGCTCCACGGCCAAACGCCGGCAACTATCTTGTAAAATGTTCAATTGCACTCTATTGCACCAGGATTCCGTTCAGTAAAACTTCGGTTAACACGGTAAAACTTGCCTTTTATTCCAGTAAAGAAAACTTAAAAGCAACACGTTGAATAAAATAGTACAGCAGGCACGAGACATAACGCTGCTAGCCGAAACATTTATAGCACAGCCACAGTAACTAGCGCACAAGATCGCTAGTGGAGCAACGGAGCGAGGTGAGTTCAGGCTAGAACCTCACTGTAGGGCTGGCGGGACGCGACTGGCTACCTCGACCCACAGCCGCTCAGACCTGACCTCGTCCTACGTGGTTCCCACTGCTACAGGTCTGACTTAAATGTTACAAGCACAGCTTCGCCAGACGTAATAAAATAATTTCGCCAGAATGAACAAAAAGGCATATGAGAACAAATGATAGCATCAATAGAATAATGAATATTAGTGAACGATCGATATTCATCGTTCACAGCATAATTTCACTTTAAATGAACTGTCATTGCTAGAAGTATTCGCCATGACACTGCTTGAAAGAAAAGTGACATTGCACGACTTCTGTGTTCCGCGCTTTGAAATTCAAAATACGCGACACAAGCAGGCCAGGCCCCAGGCCCAGAAGACCCATACCCACTCAGAAGACCCCAGCAGACCTTTGCATACACATAAGGCCCCAGCAGACCTCCACCAACTCAGAAGGTCCCTGTGGACCACCACCCACTCAACGGACTTGCCAGACCCGCAGACGCTCACTTGGGGATGCCGGAGTTGAACCTGATGACGGTGTCGTAGTCGTCCTCGTAGTTCTGGTGCAGGGGCGGCGTCGAGGGTCGGGGGTGCCTGGCGCCCCCCACGGGCTCCTGTACAATGCTCTTCATCTCCCCGAACACGCTATGGGACACGTCCCTGTGGGGGACGAGGTAGTGAAACACTAGTGGGACACGTCCCTGTGGGGGACGAGGTCGTGAGACACTAGTGGGACACGTCCCAGTGGGGGACGAGGTCGTGAGACACTAGTGGGACACGTCCCAGTGGGGGACCAGGTCGTGAGACACTAGTGGGACACGTCCCTGTGGGGGACGAGGTAACACTGAGTCAGTAAGTGAACTTAAGTACACTGAGTCAGTAAATGAACTTAAGTACACTGAGTCAGTAAGTGAACTTAAGTAGTACACTGAGTCAGTAAGTGAACTTAAGTACACTGTGTCAGTAAGTGTACTGAGTCAGTTAGTAGACTGACGTGCGAGCACCGAGCCCCATGCCGAGCCGTGTCGCCTGCTCCGCCTTCCTAGGGTCTTGTTTCTTGATGCGATCTTCCTCGCGCTGCGTGGCCAGCCCCAGCGACTCGTACGCTGACTGCAGGCTTGTCAGCTGTATGCAAAATACAATATTGTTAGACATAAACAGAAAAAAAATCTCTATAGTGATACAGAATTTTCGAATGAAGAATCAGAATTAGTGTCAAATTCCGAGAAAATACAATAGTTTTTACACTTTCCACTTATTTGTTCAAAGCAAAAAATCCCTATAGTGATACAGGATGCTCGAATAATAAATGAATGAAAACCAGAATTTTAATTAAAAAAAAGATTTCGAGTCACATTCCGATGAAATACAATATTTTTTAGACTGTTTATTTTTTTCTAAGAAAAAAAAGTCCACATAGTGATACGGTACAGGATGCTCGAATAATAAATGAATGAAAACAAGAGTTTCAATAAAAAACTAGAATTCGAGTCATATTCTGAGAAAATACAATATTTTTTACAATTTATATTTTTTCAAAGAAAAACATCCCCATACTAATACAGGATGCTCGAATAATAAATGAATGAAAACAAGAGTTTTAATAAAAAAATTAGAATTCGAGTCACATTCCGAAAAATACAATATTTTTTACACTCCTTTTTAAGAAAAAATCCCCATAGTGATAGAGGATGCTCGAATAATAAATGAATGAAACCCAGAATTTTAATGAAAAACCAGAATTTGAGTCACATTCTATTTCTCGAGGTACCCTCTTTCAGGAAACCAAATATCGAATAATAAATTATACTTCTGTGCATTGTTTATGGCTTACAGCTTCCTTTTGCTGTTGTTCTGATACAGGCGCGGGTTGCTGCTGCTGTTGCTGCAGTTGACTGCTTCTCTCAGCTTCAGCTTCAATGGCTGAAAAGTCCGTCTTCACGCGCTGTGCACCCATCTTCTTAGCACCCAACTGCCGACCAAAATAATGTATTTATTTCATATTATTATATCTATGCGCAATACACAGTAACTATTATTATTTTATTACTTTTATCTGAGCACATGTATTTCTACAAGTAATACATTTTTGCGTAATATGATTTAACGCAGTATGTATTAACAATCTTAGCATAATATTATCGTAAGAAATATACCTTGCATAGAATTTACTTTGAAAGGTAAATAATCATTATAAATAAAAACAAAGAATTACTAATCCTGCGAAATGAAATAAAGACTATGTAGTAAGTAAATAATAATGTATTAGTGCTAAGACTATGTAGCAAGTTAATAGTAATGTAGTAATGCTAAGACTATGTAGTAAATATATCAACTGTCACGAATGCATAACACAAATTGTTGGACCAGTTCAATGCCCGAATTTCCAACAATGTTTACTTTCTTGACTTTTCCTGACTGTTTACTTTCTTGACTCCCTGAAGCTTGACACGTAGTCTGCAATCAAACATTAATGAAAAACAAGCTAATGATAAAGAAGCTAATGATAAACAAGCTAATGATAAACAAGCTAATGATAAATATAAGATAAGATAAGTTAACAACAAGCTAATGATAAAGATAAGATAATGATAAACAAGCTAATGATAAACAAGCTAATAATAAATATAAGATAAGATAAGTTAACAACAAGCTAATGATAAAGATAAGATAACATAAGATAAGTTAACAGCAAGCTATTGATAAAGATAAGATAACATAAGGTAAGTTAACAGCAAGCTATTGATAAAGATAAGATAACAACAAGATAAGTTCCTAACCTTGTTGGCAGGCTTGCGGGTGCCGATGGATGAGCGGACAGGCTGCGGTTGGGTGGCCGGGGTCTGGGTAAGGACGGACACGTTCGGTCCCGGGCCCAAGGGCTCACTGCTCTCGAGGGGCTTCTGCCCACAGCAGGTATAACTTCAGCTCCAGCACGAGGGCATACATGAATTAATGCAATAAATTATGATTTGGGCCTATACTTTCAAAAAAGTTAAGAGATCGTGAGTTCATTCGCCAATCATTGACGGCCTTTCAAGCAAAATCCACCAATCATAGACAAGAAAATAGAGCGTAAGTACTTACGTTCACTTAGCGAGTTTTGAAAGTATGGCCCATGGATTGCTGATTTTTTAGCAATCAGGGGCCATACTAAGCATACGTAGCAGCCTAAGTAGTTGTAGCAGCCTAAGTGCACGTAGCAGCCTAAGTGCACGTAGCAGCCAAAGTGCACGTAGCAGCCTAAGTACACGTAGCGGCCTAAGTGCGCGTAGCGGCCAAGTGCACGTAGCAGCCTAAGTACCCGCAGCAGCCTAAGTACTCTTAGAAGCCTAAGTACACGTAGCGGCCTAAGTGCACGTAGCAGCCTAAATTATTATAAGATGGCAGAAATTTCTTGATTATATGCGTACAATTTATGACCAGAGAGTGCATTTGAATTTTCAAGGAGTTGAACAATTCTTAGATGACGTTGGTAGATCAAAAGGCAGATTTTGCAAATAATAATATATTAACGACGTTTCGAATGTAACAACATTCATTTTCAAGTTACAGGAAGCATTGAATACAGAAATTTTGATGGAAATAAGTACATGATACAAGTAAATAGGATACAACACGAAAATTTGGAACCATGAAAATAACTTCAAAACAATCTCAAAGCTTAAAAAATCAGGTAGTTATGAGATGGATAGATGGAGTCCAATCTGCAGAAAAGAGCTTCAGCTATCGTCGGTCGGATTATGTCGGGCCACCGCAAGATGACGATGCTGGTGGGTTCCTCTAGCGCAGTGCAAGTGACAGTCTCGTTGAGATTGACGTTGTCGAGAGTGTCACGGGGCCAATTGATTTCATCGCGGATCTTGAGATGAAGTTGCTTGATTGTGATGCTTTGAGACCTGGTCTGGTTGCGAGCTTGTCTCAGGTGGCAATACGCAGCAACGGTCACTTCAAAGAAGGTTGTAGACTTCTTCATTATTTTGACTGCATTGGAGTACTTGGAGTAACCACTGCGACATTGAGCAGCCGTTTATCCTGCCACCTGAGACAAGCTCGCAATAAAACCAGGTCTCCGAGTATTACAATCGAGCAACTTCATCTCACGATCCGCAATGAATTAAACTGGCTCCGTGACAACCTTGACAACAACGTCAAAACCCGAACTATACGCAGCAACGGTCACTTCAAACGAGCGGGAGTTCTTCAAGAATCTGGTGTAATCAATAAATTTTGTTTCAAAGAAGGTTGTAGACTTCTTCATTATTTTGACTGCATCGGAGTAATTGGAGTAACAACTGCGACATTGAGCAGCCGTCTATCCTGCCACCTGAGACAAGCTCGCAATAAAACCAGGTCTCCGAGCATTACAATCGAGCAACTTCATCTCACGATCCGCAATGAATTAAACTGGCTCCGTGACCTCCTTGACAACAACGTCAAAACCCGAACTATACGCAGCAACGGTCACTTCAAAGAAGGTTGTAGACTTCTTCATTATTTTGACTGCATCGGAGTAATTGGAGTAACAACTACGACATTGAGCAGCCGTTTATCCTGCCACCTGAGACAAGCTCGCAATCAGACCAGGTCTCAGAGAATTACAATTGAGCAACTTCTCGAGATCCGCAATCAACTCAACTGGCTCCATGACAACCTTGACAACAACGTCAAACCCCGAACAATACGCAGCAACGGTCACTTCAAACGAGCGGGAGTTCTTCAAGAATCTGGTGTAATCAATAAATTTTGCTTCAAATTTTGCTTCTTTATCCTGCCACCTGAGACAAGCTCGCAACCAGACCAGGTCTCAAAGCATCACAATCAAGCAACTTCATCTCAAGATCCGCAATGAAATCAATTGGCCCCGTGACACTCTCGACAACGTCAATCTCAACGAGACTGTCACTTGCACTGCGCTAGAGGAACCCACCAGCATCGTCATCTTGCGGTGGCCCGACATAATCCGACCGACGATAGCTGAAGCCCTTTTCTGCGGATTGGACTCCATCTATCCATCTCATAACTACCTGATTTTTTAAGCTTTGAGATTGTTTTGAAATTATTTTCATGGTTCCAAATTTTCGTGTTGTATCCTATTTACTTGTATCATGTACTTATTTCCATCAAAATTTCTGTATTCAATGCTTCCTGTAACTTGAAAATGAATGTTGTTACATTCGAAACGTCGTTAATATATTATTATTTGCAAAATCTGCCTTTTGATCTACCAACGTCATCTAAGAATTGTTCAACTCATTGAAAATTCAAATGCACTCTCTGGTCATAAATTGTAGCAGCCTAAGTACATGTAGCGGCAAATTTATCTTCTAGGATTGGTGGTTTAGCTTTGAAAGCCTTCATGCAGCTGGTCTGAGGAATTACTAACTCTTGGCTACATATGATATTATGGCCCTGTGTATAATTGACATAAATAAAGTTATTCATTGGGTATTATTAACACTTAGATTGAGATATTAGTGTAGATTTGAAGCCAAATAATGTAAAGTTTTCATAAGCAGGTTGAAGTGTGAGTTGCATGGCAAGACTATTTGCAATTGGCATTGGTTGAAAAGTGAGCTTTTCAATTAATGTGTGAAAATAACTTTTCACACATGTGAAAATAGATTTCGTTTATGTCTGCCACATTAAAATTACTTCAGTGCCAAGCGATAACATACAAGTATCTACTACTTTATATATAATATCTACGTAAATACAGAATATGTACTAAAAATATGTAAATAACTACTATAAGTAACTACGATCTCCTGATATTGCTTAGACAAGGCGCGTTTTACACTGGGTGGTGGAATCATAAGGAAATGAAAAATAAGAGAATGATTAAAGTTATTTGCGGTAGCTTAAAAGTTAGCTTCAATTATCAAATGGGATTCAAATTAGAGTTCCATGCTAAATTTGGAGTAGAACGAGTATTTCATTATTAAATATCAACTCCATTTACAATTAGAAGCCAGTTTAGGGCAAAATGGGACTACACGAGACATGATAAATGGGGAAAATGGGTTCAGGAACAATATTGTTGGAGAAAACAGGATAAGGAAGAACGGGCTTCGCAAATATAAATAAAATAATATTTACACCGAGCCATGCTAGGTTGAGCTGCTGTTACAAGTTGCAATAGTTGACTCAAGTCAGGAATTAAAGTACAGAGATAATATGCCGTTATGATGTGTTAATGGTTGTGAGAGACGTGCATAGATGTGGTTGTGAGGCAGACCATGAGGCGTGGTTGTGAGGAGGCGTAGTTGTAAGTGAAGCACCACAAGAGGCGTGATTGTAAGGACGTGTGAGTGTATGTGAGGCAGCATAAAATACGTTTTAGTGAGGCGTCATGTTTATGAGGCAGCACGACTCACAGGGATGGTGGCAGCCAGAGAGGTGGCGGCAGCAAAGGCCCGCGTGTCCTCGTGGTTCTGCTCGAAGAAGTCCGTCTCCTTCTTGCGAGCCTCGGCATCTGCCGCCGCGGCCGTCGAGTGGTCGCCTTCTATCATGGGCTGCAGGACGGCACACGGCATAAATGCTTTAGTGGGTCATCAAGGGTGGGTCAATGTGAAGGGAGGTCATCAAGAGAGTGTGTCATCAAGAGGGTGGGTCAATATCAAGGGAGGTCATCAAGAGAGTGAGTCATCAAAAGGGTGGGTCAATATCAAGGGAGGTCATCAAGAGAGTGTGTCATCAAAAGGGTGGGTCAATATCAAGGGAGGTCATCAAGAGAGTGTGTCTTCAAAAGGGAGGGTCAATATCAAGGGAGGTCATCAAGAGAGCGTGTCATCAAAAGGGTGGGTCAATATCAAGGGAGGTCATCAAGAGAGCGTGTCATCAAAAGGGAGGGTCAATATCAAGGGAGGTCATCAAGAGAGCGTGTCATCAAAAGGGTGGGTCAATATCGAGGGAGGTCATCAAGAGAATGGGTCCATAAAAGCTGGCATCAGCAAAAAAGTCAATATCGAGGTGGGATATCAACAAGATGCGTCATTAGACATTAAGAGGGTGGTTCATCATAAGAGGTTATAAGGCGAAATTAGTAAAATTTTTATTAAGTAGGATATGTGGACAACACTGACTGAGAAACAAGGGTGAGTTTTATGGCCAATATCTGGCGAGTCAACAAGAAGGTACCCTGCAGGCTACTGACGCAGAAACTATGCAGACTACGAGTTGATTTTATTGAAACATCATTTAATTAACGTTATTTCAATTCAATGTCACAAGCACACACAGCTAGACTGGGCTTTAAAGAAAAAAATAAGATATAAAAAAATAAATAAATATTTATATAAATAAGATATAAAAAAGTAATACAAATAAGATATACGGTACAGAGAAATGAATATAAATATACATAGAATAAAGAGATGTGTTGAGAGGAAAATAAATTTCTGATGAATACCCATGGGCCAGCTAATAAGTGTAATGAATAATACATCAATACTGAGCGAATCCCAATATGGCTGAATCCTCCAAGGTTGTAGAGCTGCACTACATCTGTAGTAACCAATTATGTTAATTGTACTAATTCATTTAGCCAAATAAATGTTTGCAAAGTGGTAGGATCTATGAAGAGACAGCAGTATTTCGTTATCTTCATAAATTCTGAAAAGGGAGTCATTACAACAAAACTGAACCATCAGCAGCAAAAAAATTTAAACTCAATTGTTATTATAAGATAAAAAAGCACAGAATGTCTGGGCATTGGTGGCTTTATATGAACTGGAAGAAAATCACAAAAAAACTTTCCTAATTGTAGACTAAAAGAAAAAAGTACAAGAGGCACACTTAGGGTGGCAAAAAGGCACACAAATAATTTTTCAAGTCTCTACCTCATTAACCACAATCCATTCAAAACCAAGCCATATGACAAGCTATGTTGTACACAAAATTTCGTTAATCAAATTAAATGCAACAAAACCAACCACAGGGTGAATTTGAAACGTAAATAAAATGAAATTAATCATGATTGGTTATAAAAAAATTAGTCAAGGGAGGGATGCACTCGGTTATATACGTATATGATTCAGCCAATATTTATGACAAAATAATCATTATTGTGTTGCTGCATTCCAGCACATTTGCAGGTTTAATTGCAATTTGCACACCAATTGGATAACTACCATAAAACAGAGTGACTTAGACCGTTTTGACATTTAAGAAAAGAAAACCCTATACCTACTCAGAAATTTCATGCATTAGAAAATTTTGTTGAGGGTTATTGAAGTACCATGAGATAACCTATATATGCAATAAAGAGATATTTTTCATAAATTTACTATGTGACTATTTGTATCACAAAAAAGTAAGCACTAAAAATGGTCCAAGTCACCCCAACAATGGTCAAAGTCACCCTGTTTTACAGTAGTATCCTAAGGGAAAGAAACTATCCTCAAGAAGGTCAATTAGGCTTTTCACTTTCCTATGACTAAGATATAATCATAGGATAGTGACAGCATCGTGAAAATAGGTTGGCAATTCACCATAAAACAGTGCTAAAGATTTAGTAGCAAATGAATCCCCATACAATTGCTTTTAGTTTAGGTTATATATAAATAAATATCAATCAAAATAGGCATAAGAGTTATTAAAAAGTGTGTGGGAGAAGCTATAAATATATTGCAAAACAAGAAGTGGATATAGGTATATAGGTATGGGTAATATGGCATATAAGCCACTCAATTCCTGGCAGAATTAGCACTCTTTGCAAAGTGTCAAAACAAAAACTGAAATTAAAGTGCCAGAGAGCCTGATGCTGTCTTACCTTACGGCTTGGCAACTCAGCCTAAAACAACAAATGCAATGAATAAGTTTAATGTAAACAAAACTGTAAGATTTTAATTCATTTTCTCTACTGAAAACAACAAAAACTGTTCAGAATATCAATGATATATATTGCTTTCCTCAAAACCAACATAAAAGTAAACAAAATTTTAGTTTATTTTTGTTTCAGTCAAGTTAACTTAGATTTGATATACATTCAATAATTACATACCATCGAGAACAATAAAGTATATGCATAGAGAAACAAAAATGAAATTAGCATTACCATAGACTATAAAAATTAAAATCTACTAGTTAAAAATCCTAAGCACAAGAACACTAGGACATTCACAACATGCAGTTGCAAAAAAAAAAAAAAGCTTTAATAGTTGACAGTAAAAACATTCATAAAATAGAGCCAGCCACAACAAACTACCATAGGACATCAACATACACATACTACATGAACAAAAGGAAATTTTAGAAATTTATATTTTTTCACCACAATATCATTGAGTTCCCAAATTCAATTCGTAACTATTATCAGGTGTAAATTTTAAAAACAAAATTGGAATCCATCATGAAAAATTATATGAATAAATATTAACAAATAGAGAAAAAAATTTTATGAAGATGGTGAACAGCTATTGAAGAGAACATTTTATTTTTTCCTGCATCTGCATTAACATGTTTCAAAAAGCAATCTCATTTTGCTATATGATATTTTAAATGTGGACATGTATTTAAACTCATTTTGCTATATGATAGGTATTTCAAATATGAACAGTTATTTAAATTTTCAGTACAATAAACACTAAGGTGCATACTCACAGTGTTGGGATGGGTCTTCATGTACTTAATAACTTGCTGATCAAGCTGCTGCTTGTACAGCTGAGCTGCTCTTGAGGTGTACTTTTGTTGAGCATCTGTGCTTGTGCAGTTGTGTTGACGGAAGAAGGATCTCTGCACAATACTTGATAACATGAGGCACAAGAAAACTTATGGAGCAGTCAAAGGTTTTTACAAAACCCATAGAATCTCTTCAAATTGCTCCGTAATATCATATGAATAATGTCAAATAGTTTAATTTTCAATGCCAAAGTACTGATAAAAGTTAATAATACTAGGTTAAAAGTTACTAATACTAATTTAAACTCTGCAACAGATTGCTTCTTTATAACAGATCAAAACTGTTTTATAATAAAATCCAATCACATAAGATGTCAATAGGTACTTGCAAAGCTGTAAATTATTGCAATGAAATATGTGTAATCCTTATTCCTGAATAGTTGTCAATTTCCTGCCAGGAGCAGTTCTTTTTTCAACAATACATAAACTAAAAAATGTTTATTGCAGTTCCTTCCGTCATGTACAAATTATCAAGCATGTATATAAATAAACAGAAATAATTCTATTCACTAACCACACAAACCCAATAGATGCACCACTCACAGCATTAGCATTGCCTCCAAGCTGCATGTGTCGCAACTGACTCCAGGTCCAAGAAGTGTCCAACTGAGTGGATCGAACAAAGGTGAGATGAACCCCTAAGCTTCGGTGAACAGCAGAGCAATCTAAGCATATAAAGACGCCATATGTCACAGACGACCATGTGGGGTTCTTGGCATGACAGTCAAAGCAAACCTGTAAATAAAAAGAAATTAGTAAATGAACAAGTTGTTCAGCAGATTGCGACAGGCAAATAAAGTATTATACTCTCATTAGAAGGCTACACTTTTTACCATCCCTAATTTTGTGCATGAAAAAGCTGGCATTTAACTATAGGACTTTCTTTTTGTATGAATTAGTGATCAAAGATTAGTGGTTATTGAATATTGAAAGCCCTTTAAATCAAAATATCTATATCTAATACACAAGTATATTGCTCTCATTGCTGCTGCATTTATATGAAATATTTGTCTTGCAGTGAGAATGGTATACAATCTCAGGCCATTGAACACATGTGTACAAAATTATGCAAGTTATTAATTTATCTAAAATTTCTGCAACTCAGAGGTATTGCACAAAAACACATTCTTGCAACAGGCGGCTTTGCTCATATACCTAATGTATTAGTGACACCCTTTTACATTCAATGCCAGCAGCACAATTGTATCCACAAACCAAGTGTCTGTGGCTCTGTGCATATACGCATACCGGTATTAGTGATTGTATGTAAGGGCAATGGAGGCAGCAGCAGCTGCGCATATCTGTGCAGCGCATGACCAAGCACATACTACTCTATTCAGTGATAATACATGCATTGAAAGCCACCAGTGCATTTGTGTTCAAATGATCATTAATAACTGAAAATGCATTCAATGGCAGTGGTGATTGCTGCTGATGAGTGATTGTATCAACATGGATATGCATGTATGTGTATTATTAGTATAGGCTGGCAGAATTTCTTCTCTTAAGCAAGTTTTGTTAAAGACCAGAGAATTAGTTTTATTTATTAGCTTCTTGTTAGTTTTTTCAATAAGTCATAGCATTATTTGAATGGTATCCAATTTACTTGATTTTGTTCATATGTCAACCCAAATTTTGTTACTCTATGCGTCTTTAACTTGAAAATGAATGTTGTACATTCGAAACGTCGTTCAATATTAAAAATGTCTATCGGTAATTTGATTTTCAATCTTCCAACACCTACGAAGAATTTAGTACGACTTATTGAAAAAACTAACAAGAAGCTAATAAATAAAACTAATTCTCTGGTCTTTAACAAAAGTATGTGTATTAGCAACCATATGCAAGTTGAATGATGGCTGGCAATTCAATCGCATCCTTGGGCCCAGTGACTATGCACATCACATGATAATGATTGCGCATGTATGGCAGAGCCATGTGCAAACTAGAGTTTGGTTGCTGTCAGGATCTCTAGCTCTGCACCATCATCTGTGCATTGAGATCATTTTGTGTGATGATTCACTGTCAATCTCATTGGCTCAATAAAGTGCATTTGAAGTGGGACAATTCCAAAAAATCCTAATCTTTCTAGAGTAGCTACTGGATTTCCTGACTTGCAGCCTGTCAATAAAAGTCTAAAAATACTTGTCAGAACAATGATTTGTAGGGTTTGATTGAAACATCATAACTTCACAGCTACAAACCTGTTTTAATTGCACTAGAAAGTTCATATTTGGTTTGTCTTAAATAAATTGATTGTTTCTAAGGAGGCCCACAAGCAACAGTTCCAGTGTTGTGGCACTAAAAACAGGGATAAACAGAAAATTTTTTGATAACCAATTAAATTTAAATTTACTGATCTAATTCAAGATTTAGTTGTATTGCTTTGACATGTTATGTAGGTTAATGCTGGTATCCAGGGTATTGTGCATGTTGCAATCAAGCCATAACTAGAACTTTCCTGCCATTTTTGGAGCTATAAAAAATATGTAGGGCTTTCCTATTTTTAGAGGTATACATGATACTTACTAGTTTATTTGCTGGACTCATTAGATTAGGGAAGGTCAAGAATAAAGTCTATGGTTCATCACAATGGCACAGTGGCACTCAAGTCCAAGTGGAATTCCAAGCAGGAAAATTGGGCAAAAGCTACCTGTGAACTAGCCAAAAGTGCCTGTGCTTGCAGTCAATTTCACCCTTTGTAAAATTTCAGAAAAAAAGGTCATATTTTATTACAACACTTCTCTTTAACTTCACTTCTTGTTTGTCTGTCTGTCTGCTACAAATCTTGTAATCGAAATTTAATACACTTCTACTTATCCTATCGATCTGAAAATTTGCACACTTGTTTAAAGTTGGAGACAATGCATGAATCAAATGTCAAAATAAATGATTTTTAAAATTAAAAATTTTTTTTTTTTCAACATTAAAAAAATTGAAAAAATAATTTTGTCAGCTACAAATCTTATAACTGATATTTGACACACTTTTACCTGTCCAATTGATCTGAAATTTTGCACACTTGTGTGAAGTCAGAGGCAATGCATAAATCAATTAACAGAATAAATAATTTTGGAAAAAATTTATATATTAAAAAAATGTATATATATTAAAAAAATTGAAAAATAAATTTTTCTAATTTTCGAAAATTAGATAAGAAATTCATTGTACATCTGTAAGATTGGAGGCACTGGATTCTTTGGAAGTGTTGTCTTTAAAAAGTAATTTTTAAACGTATATTATTTAACTGTAATTTTCAGAAATTATGGTACCTGTGAAACAATCATTTTCACCTGAAAGTTTAAAAAAAATTTGACCGATCATCCAGATTGGGTAGCATTTTCACAAGAAGCTAGCCTATCTAGTGCAAACTAGCGGTTGATTAAACTTTGCAGCAAATTTTTAATATTAGGCAGAATTTTCTAAAAATTGTATAGCCTATAAAAACAATCATGTCATAGCTGATTTGAGTGATTTCAAAAAATTACTAGAGAAAATAGCCTATTTTCTATTAATTTTTAAATAAAAAATTTATATAGAGCCATTTGAATGGGTAAAATTGCCAAGATTATCATTAAATTTTGTCAAATTCATCATAGGTGGATTCTGCTCAACTTTTCAGCAAGGCGTTGCAAGATTTTCAGCTGCACTACAAAATTTTAATGTCCAACAGAAAACTTTAGGCCTTTTACAGCATAACGTCTTATAATAAGATCTATACTAATTACTATTTGTCAGAAATCAGAATTATTTTTAATAACATAGAAACTATCATTTGCCTGTTTGTATTCAAAAACCAAAAGAATTCTATTCATTTTTCACTGATGAAATTAGAGAATAGTCATATCATATGAATTATGACTGGGAAAATTGTTTCTAGGCAAATTATGCCAACATGAAATATCACATAGAATTTTCAAATAAATTGCATTTAACTAATAATTATTTTTCAGATGAATTTCTGAAATTGCAAGGCAAAATACATGCCTTTTTTTAATTTTTCTCAAAGAAAAGGAAAGGCCATTTTAATGTGTGAAGTCATTCATGTGAATGTATTCATGGCCCATGGGCATTATTGTCTCGTTCATGAGTGGTTTATGATAACATCTATTTTTGACTTTGAGTAAAAAAGTATGACTTGTCAATCTTGATTCTTGAACAGGATGATTTGTCTAAATTATCCAATGCAGATGAAGATCAGGACCTGATCTGACAAGCCATATTGTCACACATTTTGGAATAGGTAGTAAGCATTAATTTTAGTACACATGAATATCTTCCTGCCTATGGATACACAATAACACAACTAACACAAGCTGATAAGCACATACCTATTTCCTCAGTCTTCATCATGATGAAAGGAGGAAAAAGCCATGAAAATTACTGAAGTGAAAATTCAACTTAGCCTAATCAATTAATAAAAACAATTATCAAAGCTCACCTTATTAGTAGCAATGGCACGTAATCTTTTAAAAATTAATTCAATATCGGCCTTAGTTGGGTTATCAGCCATTTTGACTAACTGTATCTTGTAATAACGAATTAATCACAGTCACAGAGACGACTTCTCAGTTCTCACTCAAGCCTCAGGTCATCAACTCATCAAAAAGAACTGTACCTAGCTTATTAATGACGTGTTTGTTTACGTCACGGGTAAATGTTACAGACCGCACATGTAAATGATAGAGTCCCTTTAGACGCAAAAGCTCCTCTGTGAATTTGATTTCAAATTCGCGATATCAAGCAGGCAAGCTCCCATTTAATTAAGGTTATAAAAATCTGATATACGTAAAGACAACAAAATTTTCCCTTCTTTGTTGATGAATTTATCCAATTACATTCATTTGTTGGCGAGATGTGAGATAAGAAAGGTTTTAAATTTGTGAAACGGTATAATTTTATAACAACACAATTTTTATACGAAATAAAAAAGCCCGGAATAAAGCCAACGACTTTCGCAATTAGCTGATTTGTGAATTATCAATCTCATTTCAATTATTTGAACACACGATCTCCCTAAATAGATTCGTAAACTGCACTACACAAGGCTGTGTATCATAAGTATAGGTTGTAGACTTGTAGAATAGCTGTGAGTAAATGTTGGGAAATCGGCTCCTCGATTTTTACCGGCCAATAAATGAATTTTCCAACGGAAATTATGAAAACTATGGATGTGGATCCTGTCCTTATATTTAAATAAAACCTTGTAATAAGATATTTTTGGTGATCTGTATTAATCAACAGTCCCAGATGCGGCCCAATAGTTATTTTTAATTCTTCTATACAGAAATGTCTTTTCGGAGCAAATAATCATCTTCAAATCGTAGTTATCGTCAAAGATTACTATGGTCGATAAAAACATTTCTCAAGAGCAGAGCTGAGGGAATTTATCGTGTCGGGACCTTATTTTTTAGCACGAGAATAGGAAATGATTTGAGAAAAGGGATTAGATGCTTAGATCAAAAACTGAAATTTTATATTGAAATTGGTTATTATGAATTTAATGTAAGTGACGCTAACATTTTTTCATCATATTTTCACACAGTAGTGAAATGAAGGCCTATCTTGTCAGTAAAATGTTAGTTTGAAGAGGTTTTTCTCTACTTAAAATACGTAAGCTCTGTTGTAATTACCGGGATTAGGTGTTACGTGAACGACTGGATTGTGATTCCAAAATTGCAGAAATTATCAAGCCTTGGCAACGCCGGGCCAACTTTCTGGTACCAAATAAATTTGAATTCACGTGTTTTATTTTAGACACACGTTACTTTAGGAATATTTCAGACTTATTTTGGGTTGCTTTAATAACTTGGTCAGAATGAGTTGACTAAATATCTCGCAACTGCTTACTACCAAAGTCATCGAGTGCCTTCAGAAGACTGCTCGAGTGCGTATTCAAGATTTTTGGAATTGGAATAGAAATTGGGTGCGTGCTGACCTCCGGTCACGACCTTTAAATCGGTCTTACACGCTGAATAAAAACCTTTCACTAGCGTAAAAAAATTAAAAGTTCACGTCATCCTCAAAAGTTAACAAAAAAGTTCAATTAATGCGTATTCACAGCAATCCTAAAAAACTAAAACATTCCGTTATGCATGTCAACATCCTAAAAAAACAGAAACAATTTGTACTAAAACATTTGGCACGGTCACTTTTGCCTTTCCACCCTCCCCTCCCTCAACCCTCCACTCCTCAAGACCCCACTCTTATCATCCTTCTCCTCTCCCTCAACCTCCACACGTTTTCCAAATACCTCTTCACACTCTCGAACATAGTTACAGCTGCTCGCTCAGACAGACCCACAATAAATGCCATCCACTCTTCCCTTGTTCTCTCATGCCCACATCGTTAATCTCACCTCCCTCGTTCAGAATCACTTCCATCATAGACTGTCGCTATCTCTCATACGCCCCACATTCCATCAACAATTGCTCCACAGTTTCCTTTTCATCCCCATCACACATAAAGAATTAATCTTCCCTCCTCTTATTCCACCTGTATGTACGTCCATTCACACCTACCGCCCCTACCCTCTTACAAAATAGATGGTCCCCACCTGTGCTACCATTATACATGCAATCATATTTTGGCATCGATTTCATCTGATACAGTCTTAAAGTGTCCTTTTTCTCAATTCCTTGCTTCCATACCTTCAGCCCATAGTCTTTCAATCGCTTATTTATATATTTTTTCCACTCTTTTGCATCCCACGCTATCCCAATCGCACCCCGTATTGTCACGACCCATTCGTCCTTTGGCCCAGCGAGTCCATGGTGCACCCATGCTTCATGCATACCACACTTACATACCAATGCACGGCATCTACGTGCCCATTTGCTCACCTCAATGTTCCACATATGCATCTTTCGCGCCCACGTTCATCGTCCATTCGTTCCAGTCTCACTTTATACCTCAAAACTTATCTCATTCGTCTCTTCTTGAAGGTACTCCATCCCATGTTCCCTCTCAGGGCCTCTACCGCAGTCCACCTGGGGGCTCCTAATGTCAGTCTCGCCACTCTATCCTGCATCATTTCCAGTTTATCTAGCTCACCATCACTATATGCTATCACATCCAATACATACATAATACTAGGCACTGCAACACTCCTCCACACTTTTCCCTCAATACTCTATTCATACTCACTCTCACTTTTAACATAACATAACATAACATAGTGATGTCGGCGCTGAAGTGTAGGCCTGATGTGGCCTGTCGCCGATTCTTTTCCTTTTCGTGCCTTGTTCATAGATCTAAACTCGTGTCATTTGACCGGATCTTTTCATGACTGGCGATAGTTTGAAGAAGCTACTAGACTTCCACCGGGTTCGATAAGGAGCTAGGCATTTCAAATCTGAACATATATTTTTCCATAGCTTTATCTAGTCTGTTCTTGAACGCGTTCATACTTGGAGCGCCAACGATGTCATCGGGAGGCTGTTCCAAATGTCGGTGATTCGAAGCGAGAAGAAATTTTGTCGCGTGGAGAAGTTGCAGCGCAATTTTTTTAGCTTATAGCCGTGGCCCCTGGTGTTGGTTCTTGTTTCAAATTCTAGTAACCCTTCAGGGACCTTGTATAGACCATGAATATACTTGTATACTTCAATGAGGTCAATGAGGTCAATGTTCTCACTCTCACTTTTGCTGCGCTTCAAAGTATACCCAACCATTGATTCGCCTCACTTAAATTCGCGGCCTTTGTTCTCTGTCATCCATCCTGGTCCACACACATCCCGAAGTATATACTCATTTTGACCTAAAAATTTCATTTACTCCCAACATCCACACTCTGCTCATATCATCAACCGATCATTCACAACAAGCACCTAGCTCTTCTCCGCACTGAATCGCACATTGAAGTCACCCCCATACTCAGCCACACATTCCAGCATACTTTGTAGTTATTCAATATTTTCACTCATAATCACAACCTCATCAGCACACAGAAGCATTTTTAACCTTTCGCCGCTCACACGCACAACAACATCCATTCTATTCATCCTCGTAGCCATTTCTTCTGTGTAGAGGTTGAAGAGAAGTGGAGACAGGATACATCTTTGTCGTACGCCCCTCCTGCTCCTCACCCAGTACGTCTCTACATCCCCAAGTCTATATTTTGCTCTAGTATTCACATTCGTACTTCTCACAAGCTTCACACATTTTTCACTTATTCCAATTTTTCCTAGTATTTGACACAGAAGTTCTTCATCCACCCAGTCATTCGCTTACTCTGTGTCTTACTCTGTGTCTACTTTCTTTCCATCTCTTTTCATTCTCCCGATCAGTTCATTCACAACAAATATATTATCTTCTACTCTTCTGTCATATCTAAAACTATTTTGCTCTTCACTAAGCACTCTTTCGTTCCTCATACATCTTTGCATCCGCTCATTCATAACCCCACAGAAAATGTTACCACTGGTGCCAGCAAGGCCAATCGGTCTGTAATTCTTAAGTTCCTTTTTGCTCTTGTGGCCTCCCTTGTGCAGCAAGATTACCCGACATTCATTCCACGCATCAGGTAAACACTAATTTGTCCAAACAACATTGAATAGATCAATCAGTCAGCCAATTGCACTCTCACCTCCGTACTCATAGAATAAGATAGAAGTGTCGTCACTGAAGAAATAGTCCCATGGCTAGGTATGTTAGGGCCTATTATGAAATAGGTCTGTTCTTGAAGGCGCTCACACTCGGAGCGTCAACGATGCTAGCAGGGAGGCTGTTCCAAATGTCGGTGACTGGAAGCGAGTAGAAAAGTACATCTCATAATATACATGTACAGATGATGTACTACATCTCATACATCTCCTATGGTATCTCATCCATTCCAGCTGCCTTAATATTCTTCAGCCGCTCTACCACTCGTTTCACTTCCTCATTTGTAATTTCCTCGTCCATACCACTCAGATTTTTACGCTCAAAGGAAGCAGCATTTTCGCCTGACGTAAATAAGTCATTCATCCCACCAATGTCTTCACAGAATTTCTTCACAGCCTCCACCAACATTGTTCTCCCACTTACATACACTTCATCTACATTCAGCCCATCCACTCTCAGATCATTTTGCATGTGGGATATCGCCACATCGTGTCGAGTGCCACTCAAATATCGCCAATTAGGAAGGTATTAAAAATATTAAGAGACGACGAATGTATAAGAATTACGTCTTGCCGGGTAAGGAGACTCAAAAACGACCTGAGACGTTATTTTCCTGGCGAATTCTAGTGAATAATTCATTTCGTCGTTCCGTCGAGATAATGTTGCCACGTGACTTGAGTCACTTTCCTTCAATAGGAATGATCCATTTGCAAATAAAACTGAACCATATCTTTATTGAGCGACAAAATTGGCTTTGTGGTAGTAGATGTACTATGTTAATATATTTTTATGCAGTAATAGAACCCTACAAATTGTACTTCTGACAAGTATTGTACGGTATTTAAGACGAGAGGGCGAGGTAAGTGCAGTTTCTGTTGAGTGGTAACTTATGCAGTCTTGATGGTAGTGAGAGTCACAATTTATTTAAAAATACCATTTCAAAAATGATTACAAATGATACTTTCAAATTCCAGAAAAATTGTTCTCATAAAAAAAACGTGCAGGACTGGCAGGGAGATATAAAATGAAGAATGAGCACG